CAATAAGTTATTAATTGCTTATTTACTGTTTCGTTGATTGCATTCAAAGTTACATACTATCGACTGGTTTAGCTGTCAAATATGATCTATTATTTTGTGACGACTTTAGTGTGTTTGTGTGGAAAACCACATCGGAGTGTGACCGGCTCACCCAGGAATGTGTCTGAAATGTCTGAATGTCTGCAAGAGTAAAGGGGATGTGGACAAATCGAACATCCTTTTAATTTAAAGTAAGTTCAATGTTTTTTAATTACCTATTCAAGTGAGTACACTTATTTCTTCTGCGAGTGCCAATGACACGAACGCCGCCTGTGGGGCAGTAGATGTACTAACACGACTGATTCGCTTAGGGTTGTTGCACCGCGAAAGCTTTAAATCTGGACGAACATTTTTCAACTGCTCTGATTTTACATTTAAAGTAAATAAAACTCATGTATGTAGGGTTCTTAACGTGATATTTTCGGCTTTGTCGATCGTTCCGTTCCACCCTGTATATTTGTAAATGACGAGTTATAGTAATCTTTAATGGTCTATTAAGGCCTTCAGTACGTTTGTACGTCAGTTTACGCCATAGTATGCCACTCACGCTAAGTCCGTACTTGGCGTTGCCGATGCTCCACCGAAGGCCGGCCAGCTCTGCTGCGTACGCGAACTGCTGTAGGCTGTCACGAAGAACTAACACCCACACTGAGGTCAGGTTGCAGTTCAGGGGATCCGAGTAGGATAGAGGGCTATAAACAAACAGTAGAAACAATTTTTAATTCAAATTAAGTATATGTAATATTAATTTCATAATTCTGCCAAGATTTGTAATAAACTACTTCCCATTACGTCGTAACATTTATTCATCGTTGGACGACTGTCGAGTCCAGATTGTTCCCATCTCACGACGTTTGAAATTGCGATTAAATGTCACATTTTCACCTAGCTCTTGCTATTATCACGACAGTCTGTCGTCGCAACGACAAAAAAATAGTGAACGACAGTTAACCGTGTTGTACTATAGATGAACAACCTAATTTAAATATATAAGCCAAGACACGTTCTGTGTACCGTTTGGGTTCTCGGTGTTCTCTCAGAGAAAAGTTTAAGAAGACTGGTATCATGCCGTGGCATCACAGTACATTTACTGAAATATTTTATATGCCCGTAAAAATATACATAATTTAATTAAGAAAGAAGATATCCATAATGTTAACCTTAGAACTAAGTCCAAACTCGTGGTACCACGATTTCGTGTAACTAAGGTAAACGATTCTTTTATAGGAACTGTATACGTTTTTACAATAAGATTCCGAAGAATATATTAAGATTATCATTTCCTGAGTTTAAAAAACTTACATTAAGAGTATTTTAATTGAAAAGTCATCTTACAAAATGTAATAGTATGTGTTAGATAAAGATGTATGGAAGGTCAACAAGAGTCTACATTCCACACAAGTATGATTCAAAATGTATTCTATAGCATTTAAGTTTGAAAAGAGCAATCCCTAGAGTTTCTTGCTCGTTCTTCTCAGGGAGGTCAGCGTAGTGACGCAGACGCAGTAGCTCAAAAAATGACGTTTTCAAGTGTAGAAATTTTACCTATTCAATAAATGATTATGTGACTTCGACTTTAAACTGCTCGACTATCTGTCGACACGACATAATGGAAAAGCGCCCTTAAAAAACATTAGGGATATTGTGACAGTCAAAATAATTTATTTTAAATACCTAGTTTATGAAATATTTTATTCTATAAATATTTAAATGTTTGTAAGTAATTTGTCACTTTTAATTAATTGGTCCCTGAGGTTCGGGATAAATGAAAATTTAATAACTATAGGGCTTCAGTTAAAAACCAAAATTTAGCAGGTCCTCTGTAGTACTGAAACAGAAATATCTCCATATAAAAATTATGTGCAAAGTTAGATATTTTATGTAATTATTAATACAAAGATCGAACACTCAGAAAAAAATCATTCGATCCGGCCGGATGCGAACCGACGTCTTCCAGCATACCCAGTCAGACGCTATACCAACTAAGACACGGAACGAACCAGCGTATCGTACATTTTTTATAATACCGTTATTTAATAGTAAATACCTAAACCATTTGATCTAACAAAACAGTTGTTCCCGCTTCTCCACTGGTGGCTCACCTTAAATAGATTAAAAAGAATTACCTGACTAGCTCAAAAGTTAGGAAGGCTTTTGGCAGCAAAAACTCCTTGTCTTGCTTAAACCAGAGCCGCATCATTGGTGTATCCTGAAAATATACAATAAGAAAATGTAGCTGCATACGTTATGTCTGCGATAAGTCGCCGGCCGTGTATATTTATACTAGCGAGATAGCAATACATCTATCTCGCTCTTGCAAATAATGTAGCTCCTCATAATGGTTGATAGTGTATTCAACACTTTTAGTTAAATGACAGTTTATTGTGCACAAGTGTTGCCCGCTTGTGAGCAGCTAGGGATTGCAGTCGATAAAATAAATATTCTATCGACTATCGACTGAATATTGGTCACGCTTGTGGAATAAAGAGCCGAATTTGTTTCATTTGAATCATCCTCGACCCATTCATCCAATTACTTGGCACAAGTTCATTTGAATTGTCAATTTTTGTATTTAGAACTGTTTATGAAAAATACAAAAAAGAGACATTATAAACTTTTTAATATTCATTCAATATAGATAATCAAATCCGGCTACTCTTGTTAAAATGTAAATGAATAGAAGTTGATCTCGATATAGTAGTAGTAAGCCAACTGTCAAAATCAGAATAAAGAAGGCAATAACAATTAGTAATCATTAGAACGTCGTAACATTCAGTCATTTCTGGCAAAATATTACCTTCTTTCGCAATCTATCGATAAAATTATCGACAACATGTCGAAAATAGTTATGTAGTCATAACTATTTAAAATTTTATGAAAATCTACAAACGTCATTTTACTCCATCTTCAAAAACGACAGAATATAGATTAACATAAATATAATCTATATTAATATAAATATGCCAACAAATCCATACATATACTTCACGCCTTTTTCCCATCGGGTTAGACAGAGACAACAGTCTTCCACTTGCTACGGTCCTGACACACATCTTTCGCCTCATCAACATGCAACAATGCTTTCATACACGCTCGTCGGTTAAGGGTACTCTTGACCTGGCCCTTCTTTAGGATAGAATAAATCCATTCTGGTTTAAATTAACTGCCTCCGTGGCCGAAGCATGGGCCCTGCTATTTTACAACTAAACATTTTTCAGAATGTGTTGGAACCACGACGTGTTAATTAAAGTTTGATAGTGTTTAAATGTTGGGCTTTTGTTGAATATTTCTTTCGAGAAACGTTGAAGACATTTGGACAATGATTTTGTGTTGTTAACTGCCTCCGTGGCCGAACGGTTACCATATATTATTGGCGTGAGTGGCATACTGTGGCGTATACTGACATACAAACGTATTGAAGGCCTTATTATGTCAACATAGATTACTTTAACGTGTAATTTACCAATATACACTGGCATACTGTGGCGTACTTTGGCATACAACATACGTGAAGAAGGCATTATGTATCCTTGTTGTGTATTCTTATCTCTGAACCGTAATTAACTAAGATACTGCGACGTACAACGTTGTTTGTACAATTTTTGTTTTAAAAATTCAATTTTAAATTTAACCGCCTCCGTGACCGAACGGTTACCATGCTGGACTGCCACGCAGAGGTCCCGGGTAAAATTTCCGGGCTGGGATAAATCGACCCCTCACACGGGGGGCGTTTTAAAGTTTTGAATTCACTGAAATGACCATAACACGTGACTTTATTTCTCAGTTTTATTCGGCAAAACTCACACATAGTGTTATAAAATTCTAGATATCGGTTAGATAGAACCACAATTTATTTTATCATTTTACAATTTAATTTAGTATTTCCATGATAAGCTCACGTATTATACTCATTTCAATGAATTCAAAACTTAACGCTCCCCTGTAAACTTGGCAACTTCGACATACTATACTTTACGTAGGAGGTGTCGAAATATTTGTACAGCCTACATTTATTTATCTCGTCGTTTTGGGTGTAATTTGTGGTTGTCAATGTGTGTCCATGGCACCTGCGATACGGGTTTTCAATAGTGCGGGGCTATGAGTGTAAAAAAACACTCTCACCATCACCTAAACTACCACAGAATAATACCTGACTCTATTTGAAACAGTTTAAAGCAAACTAAGACAGAATTTTCTTAATGGGTATAAATATACAAAAGTTTTACCTTAAGAATGGTAGGTGCAATAGCTTCACAGGTAACATCCGTGGTGGCTTCCATGTCTAATTTCGATGGTATGAACTCATTAGGTGGGGGAAGATGGAGTTCCTGAGACGACTTCACAGATTTCCATTCCTGAAATGATATTTAAGTAATACGTATGAAGGTGTACTGACTATAACTATAAAAAGCCGTGATCGCCTAATAGTTTGACCTACCCCCTCTCAAACAGAGGACTTGGGTTCGAATTCGACATCTCGGATTTCTTCAGAATTAATGTGCAAAATTAAATTTGAAAAGAATTGTACGGAATTAGTATGGAGCTTGGTGCTTTATTCTCAGAAAAATTAACCAACCTCAAATTTTTTGCTAAATATAAGCTAGCTAGCTAATAGCTTAGGAAAAAATAAAAAATATATATTATCACCTCCATTTTTTATTTATTTAATTAAAACAAAAGTGTGGTAGGTGGTAACCTGTCGTAAACTCGAATTTTTTTTCCAAAATAATGTTTGTTCGAATTTTCATTACACCGAAAACCGAATTATAACGACACCGTTGTTCTTTCAGGATATGTTGGATGTTTATCGCAAAGACATGATTCGAGTCGACTAGGTTAGGTTAAGTTAGGTTTAGAAGAAAAACATTTTCCTCTCAAAATTACTTTCGAGGTTATGAAATTCGAGCAAACGTTATTTCTGGAAAATATCATTTCAGACTAGTGATGGGTAACCGTGGTAGATATGTTAAATTAATTACCAGCAACACTGCGATACTAATAAAAGTCCAAAAAAGCAGCAACACTTGAACAGTAAAATATTCAAAATCTTAATTGCAACTAGAACGACATTGATCTGTCAATATATTTTTATGGCACTGGCCACTGGCCCTTAGCCAAAAAGTTACATAAAAATCCGTTCCGTTTCGTGGGATTACGTTCCGTTTTACTTTACGTAGTAATAAAAATCCTTGGAAACTGCAGGTCAAAAATAATTTGTTTTTAATTCAAACTTTCTAGATTTTGAGAGCTCTTTACAAAAAAATTCAACTAAGATCCTGATTACATTTTCCATTTATTTTAGTACTACTAAAGGAACAACTCCTTTACCATGAGGTTTTCCACGAAATAACCACGAAAGTCTTAAAATCTATACAATGCAACTAAAGACTAACATAGATATTAATTTGGCAGTACTAATGAGAAGACGATTTACCTTTAGCTTAGCTGCATCGATTTCTTCCAACAGGTATTTGGAGCCGTACCAAGGCTCTGTTAGAGTACATTTGTCTGCGAAGCCTCTGTTAACAAAGGAGAAGAAATTAACATGTGTATAGAATAATTATACCTTTTTTTATAAAAAAAAAACCCAACTACGAAAGTTTGTGGAATTACATCTAATTGCCAAGTTTTATTGAAAACGGTCAACGGAAAAGAGGTTGAAATCCCATAAATCTAATTTATCCCCTAATTTGCTACCCTTAGAGGTGGAATAGCAAAAAAAGGATACCTCGGTATTGGGCCCATTTAAATTCGAAGAAAATATTCCACCTCTAAGGGTGACACTTTCCGTTAACCGTTTTCAATCCGTTTTTCATAAAACTTGGCAAACATATGTGATTCCACGAACTTTTGAGGTCGGTTTTTTAATCATTATTACGACATCAAGTGAACAAATCGTGCACCTGGTGGTAAGCGACACGCCTGTTCATAACAGTTGCAGCACCACTTAAGAGCTTTAAGTCGCAAAGATCTGAGACATAAGATTCACCCTGAGACATAAGTTGACAAGTCCCATGTGCCTGTAATTTCACCAGCACCCTTACCCTTCAAAACCGGAACGCAGTAATGCTCACATTACCGCTTGGCGGCAGAAATAGGTAAGGTGGCAGTACTTCCCTGGACGAACTCTTTCCAAAGAAGCTCTTCTAAATACTTATAAATGCATACGTGTATTCAACAACTTACTTAGCGATAACACAAACTCGAACATTGTCCGGTGTGAGAAAATCTAGCATCTCGGTGATCAATTCTGGCTTCCACTCTGAGAGCAGGTAGTACGCTGAGAGCACATCCTCCATTGGAAATTCCTGCAAATAAAAAGCACGTACACACCCGAAGAACACACAAGTACACACATACTACATTGGGAATTCCCGGAAATACATATAAATACCCCCTGAGGAACACAGGCACACACATCATTGTAAAATACACATATTTTTTTATAAATTAAGACCATATGTCATTTCTGTACACATGGGTATGGTTCCTTTGACGAGCCATGATCTTTAACAGCAAAAATATAATTTTCAGGATTCGTTCCAAATAATCCTAAATGTTAAAGGCATAAAGATTACCTGTAACAAATGCACGTGTCCCACGACAAGACTGCGCGGTTCTTGAGCGTCCTTGAACCTAAAATCCATTGCGAGAAGGTCACGTTGCTCTTCCCACACCCAGCGCTGGGGACCCATCGCTTTTATCATCGCGATGTACTGAAAGAGAGGAAATCTGGTTACGGCCAGTGACCAAAAGAGAGTAGAGTCAGGGCTCTGTCACTCGCACGAGGTTACGCAATGTTAAATCTAAGTCAAATAATTATTTCTTCCATACGTAAAATGTTTAAAGCTGTTACACACAGAGACTTTCAGTAAACGGCGGGCGCGGGTGTGGGCGCGGGTGCGTGTAAATCAAATGTACGTAGACGTTCGTTGCGTTCCACGATTTCGTTTAACCAAGGTTAACGACTCTTTTATGTGGGACTATATACGTTTTTACAATAAGATTCCAGAGAATATATTAAGATTATTATTTCCTAAATTTAAAAACTACATTAAAAATATTTTGATTGAAAAACCATATTACATAATCTCAGTACAGAATACTAAAAAAACCGACCTCAAAAGTACGTGGAATTACGTGTATTTGCTAAGTTTTATTGTAATATCCCCTAGTTCGCCACTATACAGGACTTGACACTGGAGATAATAAAAATGGGTTCTCACTACTCAAAGTATATTGAGAGAAAAACGCCTTGAATTAGAGAAATAGCAAAATCAACCATTAAAATAATTGCTCCTAAATTAAAGTTAGGCGCTATTTATAAAAATGAATCTTCATGCGTGAACAGCCCCCTTAAAGGTAGATGATTTTCTTCAAAATGAAATGGGACCATTATGGAAGTACCCCCTTTCCAACAAAAAAAGAATCATGAAAATCGGTTCCCAAATACCGGAGTTATCGCGTAACATACGTACAAAAAAAAAGAACATACAGTCGAATTGAGAACCTCCTCCTTTTTTAAAAGTCGATTAAAAACTGAAGAATACGTGTTAGATAAAGATGTATGGAAAGACGACATGGCTCCAGAATCCACACAAACTTGATTCAAAGTCTAATACTCCATAGCATTTATATTTATATATATAAAAATAACGTTTTTAAATGTAAATTTATTTTACCTATGGAATAAATGATTCTTTGACTTTGTTAACAGCGGCCGCGCGCGCAGGCGCCTGCGGGTGAGCGCGGGCGCGGGTAGATCTATTGGCTCGGTCCGCCCGTACCTTTCACAGTGCTTGGTCTAGCGTCTGTGTGCGATTTTAACGTGTGGATCTACCCGCTCGTAACCGCTTCGGCATTGTGAAAGGGAAGACGCCAAGACCGTGCGCACCCACCTCCGCGCCCGCGCCTTTACTCTGAATGATCCCTTACACACACGCGCGACTATAAGCAGCGATGTAAACGCGATACAAACGCGCGATTGCATCACTACACTTGTCATTTATAAGTGATAGCATTGATGCAATGGCAAGTTTGTATCGATGCAATCGCATAAATCGCAAGTGCTTAAAAACGTCGTGTCTAACCAATCTTATACTTAAAAACGTCATTTTTGAGCTACTGCTCGTTCACTGTGCTGACTTCCCTGAGAAGAACGAGCAGGAAACTCTAGGGATTGCTCTGTTCAAATAAACATAAATGCTTATGGAATACACTTTTAATAATAATTGTGTGAAATCTAGACTCGTTTCCATACTTCTTTATCTAACACATTCTCTTATATTTTGTCATATGACTTTTCAATTGTCGTATCTGTTTCCTCGCAAATGTGATAAAAAAATTGTCTACATGCATGGGCACTAAAATAACATATCACGAGTCATTGAAGTCCACAGCCTTCGGCTTCGGGTTTCACAAACTCTCGTTCGTACTTTCTTATTTACCGCCCTTAATAAACAATGGACTATTTCATCACAATTACGCGTAAATAGTAAGACTGGATGCAGGTTAACTTGACTATAACGCCCCAAATAAAACCCTCGGGCCTGTTTTCTTCTCATTACAGCCATGAGAAGAAAAAAGGCCCGATGGCTTTATTTAAGTTAGCCTGTTAAGTTAGTCTGCATGCAATCATACTATTTACTCGCAAATGTGATGAAAAGCATTGTATGTTTTTTTTTTTTATTTACTCGTATTACAACAACTAATTATCTTGGCACTTGGTGCTCTTAAACCTAAAGTGTTTTGTTTGAGTGTTGGTCTATTCTAAAATTTATATACACATGACCTTATACACACAGACAAAATTTTGTTTATACAAGAATATAATACAAATAAACGTACACATAGACAAATCGCGTCACAAATAATATCAAAAGGAAAAACAATAATGTGATATTTAACATTCATAAATCGAATATGGGAAATGAAACTATATTTCCGAATTTAAATCGCGTATATTTGTTTACGCGATTTAAATGCGGAAAAATAGTTTAATTTTCTATGAGTAACAATCGCGAAAACCTAAGAACTCGATAAATTAAATATAGTTTCACGGATGATACGAGAATTACGAACCGCGACACCGAAATTGTTACTCTGTAAATTGATACTCGTATTTGTCAAAGATAATTAAATTCTTTTTCATCACACTTACACGTAAATAGTATTATGATTGCATGCAAGCTAACTTGACTATAATGCACCAAATAAAACACTGGGATCTTTTTTTTCCCCATTACGCCGACCATGACTGTAATAGAAAAAAAAGACCCGAGGGTTTTGTTTGCGGCATTATAGTCAAGTTAGTCTGCCTGCAATTGTACTATTTACGTGCAAATGTGATGAAAAACATTGTATGTCTCAACGGGCGGCTCGGGAATTACCAACGTCGACTCTGAAAGACCTGACTTCGACTTCGGGCTTCTAATACAGTCTCGTTCGTATTAACCGATCCTTATTAACCGCCTCACACACCCATTATATTGCAATTATGATAATGTTACAAAAACGCACCTCAAATACCAACTGAATGATGTCATCGATGTGTTCAATGCCTTGCTCGGTGAGGTCAACCTGCACACCAAAGAAGGCGAAGCCGCGGGCGCCTATTCGGGAACCGCCCACCAGACTGGAGACAACATAAGCCACTTTTGTCAAACTGTATAATTGTCTATTACTTTTGTTTTTTTTTTTATGTAACTGTGTTTTTTGTTTTCTCACAAAATCTCTTTTTGGCTTTATATTGTTTCATGTTGGTTGCAATTTGTAAATGGCATTGGATTACTCATATTTAAGTACAATATAATTGTATTATTTGGCCATGAATTTTCCTAAAATGTATAAATAAATAAATAAATATCCTCGCTAAAGCTTGGGTGTCTTACCTCCTCGAGAATATATTTGCTCACTTTAGTCCCTCGATAAAAAATATACTATTGCCACAAAACTCATAACAGGTCTCGTATAAGGTCGCAAATTCGATACGGAGGTGTCATCGAGTATATAACCAGAAATGGAGACGAAATGTCATTTAATTTGTTTGAAAACTATTCTGCCATATCATTACTGTGACAACTGCGCTCCAGTTGGCCAGCCCGAGTTCGAAACAATTGACGGGTGTCGTCAATTGTTTCACTTCAAATCGACCAGTTAACTTGAGCTTTGCTATAATGGACCAAAATTGCAAAATTACATATTTAATTACCGATTAAATGGGATTCCGTTTGTTTTATAATTAGATGTTTTGCTGTTTTTCCCACACCACCGAATACTTACAGAATATTTTATGAAATATACGGAGACGTACACACAGGTCAGTAGTTGGCCTATCTATATTTCAGTGCAAACGAGAGTTGATATTTATAAGAGCTGTTTCGCTAATGTGTTACCAGGAAATATGGCCCTTATTTCGTCTCTATTTCTGGTTATATACTCGATGGGACGTGTGTATGGCGAAGCGTAGAAGGTTTGCGCGAACATTGTGTCTTTTGTTGTACGCACTGTCGCGAGGCAATATTAGTTTTGTAATATCAAGCATTAATAAATTTACTCTGTTATGATATCTAAGACTAGGCAACTAACATGGCAGTTCAGGCATCTCAAATTCTAAAGGTACTACAGTTGGTTTGAACAATGCTTCTTACTAGCTTAGATAGATTTGTTGACTAGACAGCCTGAAGATACAGTATGACGAATCAGTAACAGAATTAGAATGAGACGCGCCACTTGTACTAAAGGTATAAGTGTGGTAAGGTGTGTGTGGTATAAAATTTGAGGATTTTCCTCGATTTCCATGGGGTCTCCACATCAGATTCTGACTTGATGACAATGGGACCACCACGAGAGTGCACCCTTTCAAACAAAAAAGAATTTTCAAAATCGGTCTTTAATTGACGGAGAAATCGGAAAACATACATACAGATGAACGTATAGCCTCCTCCCCTTTTTTTTGAAGTCAGTTAAAAAGGAAAATACTTTTATTACAAATTAGTATTCGGAAATCTGAAGATCGCCGAGAGTTAATTACAAAAAAATTGTTGTAATGTACGTACCTGTTACACCATCCCCGGGCTTTGAGGGCTGAAAGCAAGCTGCCGGGACCTTCGTGTCCGAGTAGATGGGACAGGTAGTGGCCTGGCTATTAACAATAAAAGGTGATTGTTTATAAATACGACAAAGAAAATAATACTTAAGTATAATAATAAAACATAAATAAATATATTTTTTTTAATTTATACAATTTTTTTTTCTTTTTTATTTTTTTTTTATATTTGTAAAATTGGCACACTATACTCTCCCGCTCCGATTAGCTTTCCTCTAACTCTAAGTTTGTCTGGAAGAGATCGCTCTTAGCGATAAGAACGCCTTTGCCCACATTAGTTTTAAGTTGTTTATGTACTATTCTTGTTCTTGTGTGTGAGCAATAAAGTGTTTATCTATCTATCTATAACAATTGTAACATTTAAAAAAAAAATACCAACTTGTAAAGTTCGCGGAATTACATTTATTTGCCAAAAGTTTTATTGAAACCGGTTACCGTAAAATGCACGAAACCGAATTCATTCCCTAATTTGCAATTTTCTTCAAATGGGACTTCTTTAAACGGGACCAACGCTTAGATACACTCACAGAAAAAAAATCAGTCGGTTCACACATGCCGGAGGAGAAAAACAGTAGAGAATTGAGAACGTCCTCCTTTTTTAAAGCGGTTAAAAACGCAGAAAGCAAATAATGTTCGGGCGACGGAAACGAGACTTATTAAAAATTAAATCAACTTGTGATTGAATATCGTCAGAAAAATCTTGTTAAAATGATCCCATGTGCAGCGCGGCATAACTCTTACGTAAATGATCACTCCCCCCGCAACGCGCAGCTACCTCAGGAACCGAATCAGCGATGAAGAGTTCTACTGCTACTAAATAATACTTAAGTAAATATTTGTGCGACTCACCCCACTCTTATACTGATTTCTCGTATCCGGAATGGGGAAATCAATAGTCAATGACCGTAAATCCTTAACAGGGAGGTAATAGAACCTCTTCCTTCTCAATTCGGGAGGGTACGGGTGATCCGGCCAAGAGGGTGCGATCACTGACTTATCCTCTACAGCTGTGAATAGGTTTGCTACCATTACTTCTAGTTCGTCCAAGGATTCTGTGGACAAATCACGGTTAAATAAGAGAAAACCTTTGGACTATACAGTAAATAAATAACACACACACTCAAAATAGCCCCGCACTAGAGAAACCCTGTGTCACAGGTGCCATCGAAACACACATAGCCACCATAAATTGCATCCAAAATCACGAGAGAAATAAATATGGGCCATACAAGTATTTCTCCCCGCCCGGGAATCGAATCCAAGACCTCTGCGTGGCAACACAGCAATACAGCATGGTAATGGTAACCATTGGGCCACAGAGGCGGTTAAATTATAAATTGAATTTTTAGAACAAAAATTGTACATACAACGTTGTACGTCGCAGTATCTTCGATAATAATTATTAAGAGATAAGAATACACAAGAAGGATACATAATGCCTTCTGTACGTATGTTGCATGTACGCTACAGTATGCCGGTATATATTTGTAAATTACACATTATAGTAATCAATATTGTTGTATTAAGGCATTCAGTACGTTTGTACGTCAGTATACGCCACAGTATGCCACTCACGCTAAGTCCGTAGGCGTGCCTCTTTGTGGCAGTCCAGCATTGTAACCTTTCGACCACGGAGGCAGTTAACAGTACAAAATCATTGTCAAAATGTCTTCAACGTTCTCTCGAAAAAAATATTCAACACAAGCGCAAAAATGCACGATAAGTACACGAATAAACCTTAATTTAATACGTAGCAGTTCCAACAGCATTCCGAAAATGTTTAGTTGTAAAAATACCAGCGCCTATGTTTGAGCATTTTGTTGGGGTATTGGTATGGCAACCCACCCATTCAAATTCTCACTTAAAATTTTAAAGTGAAATAAAAATGAAAAATGTAGATCAAGTTGGGGGCGCAATTTTTATTTCACTTTCTTTTATTTCAATTTTAATGCTTATTTAGTTTACTTAATTTTACAGCAATTTAAAAAATTTAATGTGATTTTACTAGAATATTACAATTTTCAGTTTTCAATGTTATTTTCTTTCCAAATGTCTTCAACGTTATGTATCCTTAGAATCCGGAAGGCGTTCAGTGGGACGGCCCCCTACTAGATGGACGGATGACCTGGTAAGGGCGGCGGGTAACAGATGGATGCACGTTGCGTCCGATCGGCTGGTCTGGAAATCTTTGCGGGAGGCCTATGTTCAGCAGTGGACGTCTTCCGGCTAACATGACGGTGATGATGACGAATGTTATTTTATTCCAATTTTAATTTCATTTTTGATTGTATTTTATTGTATTACATTTATTAATATTAAAACTGCAAACTAACATAGTAGCTCTGTAAAACTTATAAGTGGAC